CTCCTAACCCACCGAGACGTCGCAGCATGATATCGTGGTCTACGGTATCAAAAGCCGCTGAGAGGTCCAAAAGAACAAGGACAGAGGAATATCCCCTGTCCCGGGCCCTCCAGAGATCATTAACCAACGCGACCAATGCCGTTTCCGTGCTGTGCCCCGGCCTGAAGCCCGACTGGTATGGGTCTAGATAGACTGTTTCTATCTAGACCCATACCACCGAAGACCTTCTTTGGTCCTTTCAGATACATTTTGGCCCCCAGAACTGATTGTTAACTGGGTGCCTCATCCACTCTGCTGAAAGAGGCTCACCCATGCGTCTGTGGTTGTGTTTTGTTTCTGACTGTGGCTTGATTGATTTGGGATGTAACCGTGTTCTGACCATGTTTGGCTGCAGGGAGAAATCGATGCTCATGAAGACAGCTTTAAATCTGCGGATGACTCCGGCCAGGCCTTGCTTGCTGCTGGACATTATGCCTCTGATGAAGTTAAGGAGAAGGTAACCAACTTTACTGCCAGCAAGATAGCGAAGGGGAGGAGAGGGGGTGCTTGGAGCCTTGGGGGGGGGGTCCACATTATTTCTGCCTTTCCTCCCAGGAAGATGATGATAATAATAGTAGTAGTAGTAGTAGTAGTAGTAGTAGTAGTAGTAGTAGTAGTAATAATAATAATAATAATAAAGTTGGAAGGGACCTTGGAGGTCATCGAGTCCTACCCCCTGCTCAGGCAGGAAACCCTATACCATTTCAGACAAATGGCTGTCCAGTCTCTTCTTAAAGACTTCCAGTGTTGGAGCATTCACCGCTTCTGGAGGCAGGTGGTTCCCCTGGTTAATTGTTCTCACTGTTAGGAAGTTTCTCCTTAGTTCTAGGTTGCTTCTCTCCTGGATGAGCTTCCATCCGTTGCTTCTTCTCCTGCCTTCAGGCGCTTTGGAAAATAGCTTGACTCCCTCTTCTTTGGGGCAGCCCCTGAGATGCTGGAAGGCTGCTATCCTGTCCCCGCTCGTCCTTCTCTTCCTTAAACTAGACAGGCCCAATTCCAGCAGCCGTTTTGACCGGCTTGCCCCCTCCCCATAAATTGCAAATTGGCTTTATTACAATCCAATTGCTGCTTTGCCAAGGAAACCAGCAGTAGGCAAAGGAGGGTCTTCCCAGTCGACCCCCTTCTCAAGGACGTGGACTCCTGACCCCAAGGCGGTCTCTCCTTTTTCTCTCAGCTGACCGTCCTCTCCGAGGAAAGAACAGCTCTGCTGGAACTGTGGGAGCTTCGTCGGCAGCAGTACGAGCAGTGCATGGACCTGCAGCTTTTCTACCGGGACACCGAGCAGGTGGACAATTGGATGAGCAAACAAGAGGTGAGCGCTGGGGGGGTGGTTTTCCCTGAACGTCGCTTGGCCAGCCTGCTCGCCCCCCCCAAAGAGCCCCTATATAACAAAGGAAGTCCACAGAGTAGGAGCACGCTCACAGGGCAAGGTCCAGGGTCCCCAGTCCACGAGGCAAACTGTACTCGGTAAGACAAAATCAAGGCACAAGGCAAAAAACAGTTTTCAAGGGAAGGCAAGACAAGAGTCAAAGCCCCAGGGGAATGTAAGCCAAAACAATTGTTCCTGGCAAAGATTCACTCCCCACAGCTTTTCCTTAAGTCACTCCACTCCATGTGCTTCTTGTGAGGAAGGGTGGGGTGATTCTCCTTGCAGCCCTTCTCTGAGCTTGCCTACACTCTGCTCTCCGTGCCCTTGGATATCGAGCGGGGGAGGCAGCTGTTCCTCATCAGAGGGGATCTGTTGCTTATCAGCATCACTGCCTGTCAGCAGCCAATACTCCTCTGTGTCTGTTAAGAGTAGGGAGTTCTCCGTCCTCTCAGCCACTTCCCCCAGTGCCTGTGGGGCCTGGGACAGCATTGTCCTCAGCCCCTGGCCTCTCCAAGCAAGCCAAGAGAGACATGCCATCCCGGTTGGACGTTCCCAGTTCCAACTCCTCTCTGAACTGGGCTTCGATGGAGCCATGGCAGACCTCCACGGCATCCTTAAGCAACCGGCCAGACTTTTTCACCGAATCGTACTTTCTTCTTGGTTCTTTTTTCAAAAGTTTGGTGGCTCCGACGACCATCTCCAGATCTTCTGGCCCTGTTCCACCAGGATATTCTGCCTTCTACGCAGATGTCCTTTCTTTCTTTCTTTTTGTCTTGTCTTCCACCATGGCCTGTCTGGTTGGCCAAATCTGGCCTTTTCTGATGTCCTTTTGTCTTCCTGTCTTTCTTTTCAAGGCCTTCTTGCTGAATGAAGATCTCGGGGATTCTCTGGACACCGTGGAGGCCCTGCTGAAGAAGCACGAGGATTTTGAGAAGTCGCTTAGCGCCCAAGAAGAGAAAATCACTGTGAGCTATTTGGAGATTTACTTATTTCCCTGGAGAGATAAGCCACAACTGGTCCTCACACCACTTGATTTTTAAAAAAAATACTTAAAAGAAAAGGAAACACTTCGCAATAGAGTCTTTTCCCCCCGTTTGCTGGGGTTACAGCCACATATTTGAGAACTTATCCAATTTAAATTCTCTAGAGTGGAAGATTATTCCATCAGAGTTACTGTTTTAAGCCTTCGCTAATTGAACTAAGCTATCCCTGGTTACCTGGCCCAGTTTTTCATGAGTTACCCCCATTAGAAGATAGCTTCTGTAACTGAATTTGAAGTCATTAAACCAATTAAATTATCAGACGCTCCTGCTTGACAATTCTGAAAGATAATCTTGGCTGTTTTTCAAACGGGACATTCTTGACTAGGTATTTAAAGTGGGGACTTGTAACCCACTTTGGTTTTGTACCCCTCAACGCAGCGTAGATAAGGCTCCCTCTTTTATTTTCGCACCACAACGACCCTTTGAGGTGGGCTGGGCTGAAAAAAAAATGCCTTTGGCTGGGTCTGAGGAAGAGAGATGTGTACCTGTTGAGATTTAAAAATTGGGGAAAGGTGATCGGACAGCTGCGCGTCGCGCTTTCCTTCAGTCCGAAGGATAAATTCTGCAGTTTTGTTTTAATTGGTTTGGGTCCACGATTTGGGGTACGGATTCTGATCCCTCTTCATGGCATTCCTTTGGCGGTAAATCAGAATTTCTACCTGTCTCCACCCACTCAAGACAGGATACCTACCTAGCCTAGTTTTTGAACTGTGTCCGTCCTGGGATTTATATCTCACAACCTCTTAATGCTGGTGAGAGGCTTATTTATTTCTGCAGAGTTTCAAATAAGTGAAGTCGTTCGAAAGGCTTAACAATCAATCTCCTGTTTTCCTGAGTCAATAAATACCATTTTGTTTCTAGGCTCTGGATGAGTTTGCCACAAAACTGATTCAGAACAACCATTATGCCAAGGAAGACGTGGCTACCCGTAGAGACGCCGTAAGTTTCAAATGCAACCTCGTATCTTGCCTATTTCCTAGTTGGGCTTCTTTGTTTGGTATATTTGTGGGGGGTGGGCGGAGAGCAGGCTGCAACTGAAAGAAAAAAAGATAGAATCGAAGACTGTTGCTGTGGATTCAGGCTTGTTGTGTTCTTGTCTTCCGCCAGTTGCTGAGCCGTCGCAACACATTGCACGAACGGGCCCTGCTGCGTCGAACGCAGCTGGCCGACTCCTTCCACCTGCAGCAGTTCTTCAGAGACTCGGATGAGCTGAAAAGCTGGGTCAATGAAAAGATGAAAACCGCAACGGACGAGGCTTACAAGGTGTGGCTGCAGTGCAGTATATATTGTTGGGTGTATGTATATATATGTGTTTGTGTGTGAGAGAGAGAGAGAGAGAGAAAGGAAAGAGGAAAGAAAAGAAAAAGAAAGAAAGAAAGAAAAAGAGAAAGAAAGAAAGAAAGAAAGAAAGAAAGAAAGAAAGAAAGAAAGAAAGAAAGAAAGAAAAAGAAAGAAAAAAAAAGCAGGCTTACAAGGTGTGGCTGCAATGGGATATATATTGTTGGGTGTATGTATATATGTGAAAGAGAGAAAGGAAAGAAAGAAAGGAAAGAAAGAAGAAAAAAGAAAGAAAAAAAGAGGCAGGCTTACAAGGTGTGGCTGTAATGCAGTATATATTGTTGGATGTATGTATATATGTGTGTGTGTGTGAGAGAGAGAGAGAGAAAGGAAAGAAAGAAAGGAAAGAGAACAGAGAAAGAAAGAAAAGAAAGAAAGAAGAAAGAAAGAAAGGCTTACAAGGTGTGGCTGCAATGCGATATATATTGTTGGGTGTATGTATATATGTGAAAGAGAAAGGAAAGAAAATGAAAGAAAGAAAAAGAAAGAAAGAAAAAGAAAGAAAGACAGGCAGGCAGGCTTACAAGGTGTGGCTGCAATGCAGTATATATTGTTGGGTGTATTTATATGAGAGAGGAAAGAAAGAGAAAGGAAAGGAAAAAAAGCTTACAAGGTGTGGCTGCAATGTGATATATATTGGATGTATGTATATGAGAGAGAGAAAAGAAAGAAAGAGAAAAAGGCCTTACAAGGTGTTGCAATGCGATATATATTGTTGGATGTACATATATAAAAGAGGAAGGAAGGAAGGAAGGAAGGAAGGAAGGAAGGGCTGAGGAATTCTGGGAGTTGAAGTCCACAAGTTTTAAAGTTGCCAAGTTTGAAGACCCCTGACCTAACCCAACTGCCACTGATCTGGTCTCCTCTGTTTCGTAGGACCCGTCCAACTTACAAGGGAAGGTCCAGAAGCACCAGGCGTTTGAAGCCGAGCTGTCGGCCAATCAGAGTCGCATCGATGCCCTTGAGAAAGCCGGGCAAAACCTGATCGACGTCAAACACTATGCCTCGGACGAAGTGGCTATTCGCATGAACGAAGTCATCAGCTTGTGGAAGAAGCTGTTGGAAGCTACCGAGCTGAAAGGTACAAGGTGGAAAGAGAGACAGAGAGAGAGGGGTGGGTGGGGGAGGACAGGAAGAACGATGGGGTCCTAAAGGCATTTCCTAAGCGCACAAGACCTTCAGAGTCTCCCCTTCTCCCTTCCAGGGATCAAGCTGTGTGAAGCCAACCAGCAGCAGCAATTCAACCGCAACGTGGAAGACATTGAACTGTGGCTGTACGAAGTGGAAGGTCACCTGGCTTCTGATGATTACGGCAAGGACCTAACCAACGTTCAGAATCTGCAGAAGAAACACGCCCTGCTGGAGGCAGACGTAGCTGCCCACCAGGTACATCCCCGTCTCCTTCCCCACCTGCCCTGCCCTGCCGGTTAGAACGGAATGGAATGGAAGGGTATGGAATAGAATGGAAGATGAAATAGAATATAGAATATAGAATAGAATGGAAAGAAAAGGAATGGAATAAAAAAGAAGATGAAATAGAATATAGAATAGGATGGAAAGGAATGGAATGGAATAAAAAAGAAGATGAAATAGAATATAGGATAGGATGGAAAGGAATGGAATGGTATGGAATAAAAAAGAAGATGAAATAGAATATAGAATAGGATGGAAAGGAATGGAATTGTATGGAATAGAATAGAAGATGAAATAGAATAGGATGGAATAGAATAGAAGAATAGAATAGAGTGGAATGGAATGGAATGGAATAGAATAGAATAGAATATGGAATAGAATAGAGAATGAAATAATTGAAATAAAATAGAACAGAATAGAATATGGAATAGAATAAAATAGAATAGACAATGAAATAATTGAAATAGAATAGAGCAGAATAGAATAGAATATGGAATAGAATAGAATAAAATAAAATAGAGAATGAAATAATTGAAATAGAACAGAATAGAATAGAACAGAATAGATAGAAACTTTATTGTCACTTTAAATGTACACTAATCACATGTTAAAATGAAGTTTCATTGCATTCAGCTCTCAAAAAAAATACCATTTTGCATCTACCCACATACACACACACATACGACACAGAGAAACATAGTGTAGTTCTAACGTGTACATATACATGGCGGGGAAAAAAGAATCCTGTGGATTTACAAGACGGTTGGCCTAATGATCGAAGCTTTTGCGGAATCTAGTGGCTCTGCTATAAACAGAGAGCCGTTGTGCTTGGAGGGCAGCGGAAGGGCTGCAGAAGGGGACTTAACACTGGACCCATTCGAGGGTAGAGAGATAGTCCTTGCAAGGTGGCTACTGCTGATCTTCAGTTCTTCTTGCCCCCAATGTCCCCGCTCTTAGGACCGCATCGACGGCATCACCATCCAGGCTCGCCAATTTCAAGAGGCCGGGCACTTTGACGCCGACAACATCAAGAAGAAGCAGGAGGCCTTGGTGGCCCGCTACGAAGCCCTGAAGGAACCGATGGTGTCCCGCAAGCAGAAACTGGCCGACTCCCTCCGCCTCCAGCAGCTCTTCCGCGATGTGGAAGATGAAGAAACCTGGATCCGGGAGAAGGAGCCCATCGCGGCCTCCACCAACCGAGGTTAGCGCAGGGCCGCCCCTCTCGGAGGAGCGCGAGGCGCGTTACACGTCCATACATGTTGATAACCGTGGCTAGTTTTTGAGCAGCTAGCCAACAATGCCACATAAGGGGAAATACAGGCAGTCCTCGACTTAGCAACAGTTCATTGAGTGACCGAAGTCACAACGGCGCTGAAAAAAGGGACGGAGGACCGTTTTTCACACTTAACGACCGTTGCAGCGTCCCCGCGGTCCCGTGATTTACGTTCGGATGCTTGGCAACTGGATCATGTTTATGACGGCTGCAGCGTCCCAGGGGTCACGCAATCCCCTTTTGCGACCGTCTGGCAAGCGAAGCTAACGGGGGGAAGCCCGATTCCCTTAACAAATGTGGCAAGGGAAGGTCGTAAAAACGGGGCGAGCCCCACTTAACACACGTCCCGCTTAGCAACCTAACATCTGGGCTCCATTGTGATCGTTAAGTTGAGGACCCCTTGCCTTTGCAAACTGACGGCTCTTCTATTTAGGGGTTGGGTCCATTTTTACTGGAATGGCTGCTGACCATGTCCTTCCCTTCTTGTTGCAGGCAAAGACCTCATTGGGGTCCAGAACCTGCTGAAGAAACACCAAGCTTTGCAAGCGGAGATTGCTGGCCACGAACCCCGCATTAAAGCGGTCACCCAGAAAGGAAACTCCATGATAGAAGAAGGTGAGTCTCTTCCTCTCTTCCTTATCTTATGAGCCGTGATGGCGCAGTGGTTAGAATGCAGCACTGCAGGCTACTTGTGCTGACTGCCAGCAGTTCGGCAGTTTGATCCTGGTCGACGGTAGGTAGAGTAGAGTAGAATAGAGTAGAATAGAGTAAATATAATAGAGTAAATAGAGTAGAGTAGAATAAACAGAGTAGAATAGAGTAAATAGAGTAGAGTAGAATAGAGTAAATAGAGTAGAGTAGAATAGAGTAAATAGAGTAGAGTAGAATAGAGTAAATAGAGTAGAGTAGAATAGAGTAAATAAAGTAGAGTAGAATAAACAGAGTAGAATAGAGTAAATAAAGTAGAGTAGAACAAATAGAGTAGAGTAGAATAGAGTAAATAGAGTAGAATAGAGTAAATAAATAGAGTAGAATAAATAGAGTAGAGTAGAATAGAGTAAATAGAGTAGAATAGAGTAAATAAATAGAGTAGAATAGAGTAGAGTAGAATAGAGTAAATAGAGTAGAATAGAATATATAGAATAGAGTAGAATACAGTAGAGTAGAATAGAGAAGAGTAGAGTAGAATAGAGAAGATAGATTATAGATAAGATAGATTATAGATAGATAAGATAGATAAAATAGATTATAGATAGATAAGATAGATTATAGATAGATTATAGATAAATAGATTATAGATAGATTATAGATAGATTATAGATAAGATAGATTATAGATAGATAAAATAGATTATACCACTGGTCATTTGCTTTCTTTTAGAGAGTCATTGAGGCCACTTGGAGGTTTACCTGTGTCCTCAGGGTCACCTGAGTGATGCAAATAGGTGTGAGGCCTTGGCTGTAGGATGTTTCCTGCCCTGGGTCCCTTCACTGTTGAAGATGGGCACAAGGCTGCTGGGGAAGAGTCTGCGTTGTTTGCATCACAGCCTGAAGCACAAATGGTTCCTGTAGCCTGCAATGTTTTCTGGGAATCCGCTACAATTTCCATTACAATCCCCCCTGCTTTGTCCAGGGAAGCCTCAAGAGAGAGCCAGGCCCCCTCCTCATTTTAGCTAATTTTCTGAGAGGAGCCTTCTTCGTGGAGAAACTCCCACCAGCCCAGGCTGGTGGGCGAGAACTGTGCCCACCTTCCCACCTCCGCATCTTCCCAGACCAACGTGCTTCTTGTCCCTTAGGACACTTTGCCGCAGAAGATGTGAAAGCCAAACTGAACGACCTCAACCAGAAGTGGGAATCCTTGAAAGGGAAGGCCTCCCAGCGCCGGCAGGATTTGGAAGACTCCCTGCAGGCCCAGCAGTACTTTGCCGACGCCAACGAGGCTGAATCTTGGATGAGGGAGAAGGAGCCCATTGTGGGGAGCACGGACTACGGAAAGGACGAGGACTCTG